TTTTATACAAAATCTTAATTTGATACCTAGAAAACAGCCCATAGATCCTTTATTTCCACTTTAAATTCACAGATAACACTTCAGAAAAAGAGCTGAAATTAAAATAAATTTTAAGTACACGTTGGATATTTTTATTACAATTATCATAAATTCTAAGTCAATAAACACTAGGTTTATTTTTAGGTAGAAAGGCTCTTATTCTTCTCTTTCTCACCTGACATATCCCTCAGGCTCTTTACACAACCCATGGGCAGACATATTTTATTCTCAACTACTCCCTCAAAGAGAATATACTAATTAATTCCTTGCAGGTCACCTTTTCCTCATCCGAGTTTTTCCACTCTGCCTTTCACCTGTCAGGTAAGACACTTGTCCAGTTTCTTCCAGGAAGGGCCATCCTAGACTGTTACTGGAAAGATCCAGCTCCTGCCATGACCCTGTGCTGTCCTTTTCCTGGGCTCATGTGGAAGGAATTCGGTGCTGTATTTCTGCAACAGGGTTCCTTCTTCACATTTGTCATTCAGCTGCATTTAGTATCTGGCACTCCTACCTTGATGGCACCTGACCTGGTTTTATATTAATCCGTGATGCTAAATTATCAAACTAACAGAACAAATTATCTACAGAATTACATAGCAGTTTCCTCCTGCCTCTTCCCTGCTAAGAGATTAAAGCAGGACCCCAGGTCCTAAATCATGCCACAATAGAAAGACTGCTAATCTAGCCATTAGAAGTCAAATTCTAGATAATCCATCCCAATGCTACAGGAACAAATCACAGCATACTCACATTTCACCTTGGGGTTCATTCTGAGCATCAGATATTCACTAAATAAGTTAATATTTGCTTTGTGAGTTATAAAATATTAGATAAGTGTTCTTAATTGTGGCTATCCTTATGTCTTTCCAGTCTTTTCCTATCTCATAAGAAAGAGGTCATTAGATTTGAGTGAAACACCTGGATGTGGTCCCTGGTGGACCAGAACATTCCCCTGGAACCAAAACCTAGATGCAGCTGCTGCAGGTGGCTCCAAGCCACATCTCCTCCCCAAGGAAGCTCTTCTTCAACCCCCATAAGGGAAGGAGGCTGCCCTGCTCTCAGAAAAGGCAGTAGTGTCTATAGAAGCACATAGAGGATAAGGACAACAGTCTTCTGTGAGCACCCTGGAGTAAGGAGAAGCCAATAACATGGAGCCTCCATAAGAGAAAAGCAGAAAATCCACAGAGCTGGCAGCTGGTAGAAGAATTTAGTCTGGAGGTAAGACAACCAGGAAAGAAGGAGTTGACTCAAAGCCCACAGCAGATCAGGCTCCCTTTCCACTGAATCTGAGTATCTAGGGTTCATCTGGCTCAACACTACTTTCTGCCAATGGAGAGAACCACCTCTGACCCAGCCTAAACAAATTTGGAAGAGAGCTTGTGATATTTTTTAAATGTCTAATGTTTGTTCCAGTAGGTTTCAAAGAAGGGACCCATTATTTGCCAACTTCTGGGGCCTCTAGGAAGAAAGTTCATTTCCTCCCCTCTGACCTTGTCCAATGAGCCTTATTTTATTTTAATACCCAAAAATCATGCTATAAATAACAATAGTCAGCCCCATAAAAATCACCTCTTTGAAACCAGCACAGGTAGGTGCGTATGGGTTTTCCACCACCACCACCACCACTTGGTCCATGTTGTGCCCTCTGATCACCTATGGGCTAACTATAGTCTCTTCATAAGAATCCTTCTGGGTGGGGTGAGGGGAGGTAGGGGGAGGGAGGAAGGAATTGGATGAAGGTGTTCAAAAGGTACAAACTTCCAGCTATAAAAATAAATAAGTCCTGGGGGGGAGGGCAGGAAGAATCCTTCCAATACTTGAAAATAGCTATCATAGTCTCCCATTGTTTTGTCATTTCCAGAGTAAACATGTCCACATTCTTCATATGTTCCCCTCATACTTCACAGTTTCAAAGTCTTAACTCATAATAGTCAATAAAAATCTCAAATCATGTTCACATAGATGGCTACTTTTCAACTGATAGTTAAAGCCTACAAGCAGATTTTACAGGTGCCCCTGTTACATTTCATCTTGTTTTTAGTCTAGCATTCCAAAGAAAAGATTATTTTGGATTATAATTCTATCACTTATAATATTGGTTTCCTCTCTTTGTTTCATATCATCTGAAGTTTGATGAGAGCCATGCATATTTACTCTTTATCGAGCTCACTACCAAAACAGGTGAAGAAGACAAGAAGACAAAGCCTCCTCCTTTTCACTAGACATGTTTCTCCAGATTTTCAGAGTCATTAATGAATAATTTTGGTCTATAGTAGCCAAACTAAAAGTGTTATCTTTAAGCTCACAGTCATCATCTTTTCTATGAAGCTTTATCAAAATTATGTCCTTTTTCTACTCCTTTCTCCTGATCTACTAAATTATTAATACTACCAATAAGGGCCATTATGTGAGGTTTGACATTATAATTAGCATTATGTAGCTCCTGGTGATATTTCCTTATGAGACTTCCACATGTTCTTATAAAGCATCTATTTAAGAATTTTACCAGGGATCAAGGTCAAATTCACTGGTTAACAAGGGCAACAGTAATTTTCCTATCATAAGCATTGACTCAGAGACTTGAGAGGACTTAAGAAGCTTTGGGTCAGTTGTCTGGTTGGTTGGTTGGTTGGTTTGGTTAGTTTTACTAGCTTCTTCCCTTGTTCCATCTTTCTGCTAAGCCTGGAGTCTATTCCATTCTCAAATCAAGTCTCTTTCTGGCTCTTTTTTTTTTTTTAAAGATTTTATTTATTTATTTGAGAGAGAGAGAATGAGAGAGAGCACATG